TGGCATCTTGGATTCTAGTCCCAGCTACCGGTCTGTTTGTGGGGGCTCAGTGGCCCCAAGCGATCATCAGGGATAGCAATGCCTGCCTCTAAGATGGGCTGAAAGTGCGGAATAGATAACAGCGATTGTAAAGCCCTCGGGTTACGTTTGGTAAACGGTGCAGGCTCGCAGGCAGTTGGAAGGCTCATCGGCCTTGCAGCCATCTGCTAATGTGAATTCCAGTCCTTTTGGGGCCTCGATTTCCTCCTCCATAAACTGATATCCATAATGCAACCTTGTGACAGGCTCCGTGAATGTGAATGTTGTGAGAATGCGCGGGGTAAAGGCAACGTCTCTCCCTCTCGGGATGAGCTTGGACGGTGTCAGGCCTATATCTCGCTCCGCTGGGCCTGGCTCCCCGGCTGCCTGGGCTACGCGGGCTCGAAGTACACCATCGCCCTCTTATGGCCGCGGAAGGACTGGGCGGTGGGGCTGTTTAGCGCCTTCCTCCAGGCACCGCGGAGGGCGAGGGTCTGGCAGCCCAATTACCCAGGGCCTTGGGGCACTAGCATTCACATCATCCACTCCCTGGCAGGGCTGGCAGGATTTTTTCTTTTCTTTTCTTTTTTTTTTTTTTTTGAGACGGAATCTCGCTCTGGCTCCCAGGCTGTAGTGAAGCCAGGGGTGATCTCGGATCACCGCAACCTCCGCCTCCCAGGTTCAAGCAATTCTCCTGCCTCAGCCTCCAGAGTAGCTGGGATCACAGGTGCGCCCCCCGCGCCCTGCTAATTTTTGTATTTTTAGTAGAGATGGGTTTCACTATGTTGGTCAGACTGGTCTGGAACTCCCGATCTCGTGATCTGCCTGCTTCGACCTCCCGAAGTACTGGGATTACAGACATGAGCCACCACGCCCCGCCCAGGCCTGGCTTTCTTAAGTGTGGTCGTGAGCCTTAAGTGAAAGAAGTGCTGACCCTCTGGAGATCGATAAAACAATTGGCTCAATGGATCTTTCTTCAGGAGGTGGACTTGGTTTACCTGCTTTACTGACCACAGCTGATGCAAATTATTTCATTTAATCCTCTTTAGAGTCCCCGTGCAGGGGGAATTATCTTCCCCAATTAGTTTCTTGTGAATGCTGCAAACCATGCAGGGCAAAGAGAGCGAGAGGATAGTTGGGGACGGGGAGAAGGGGCGAGGGGTACGTTCCTATTAAAACGGAGCTGCAGCTGGGTGCAATGGCTCACACCTGTAATCCCAGCACTTTGGGAGGCTGATGCGGGAGGATCACGAGGTCAGGGGTTCAAGACCAGCCTGACCAACATGGTGAAACCCAGTCTCTACTTAAAAATACAAACATTAGTCGGGCGATGTGGCATGCACCTGTAATCCCAGCTACTTGGGAGGCTGAGGCAGGAGAATTGCTTGAACCTGGGAGGCAGAGGTTGCGGTGAGCCAAGAGCGTGCCTCTACACTCCAGCATGGGCAACAGAGCGAGACTCTGTTTCAAAATAACATAAAATAAATAAAACGGAGCCGCAGAAAAATCCACAGAGACACCCATCTATTCCCCGCTGAATCCTTAGAACAGTGCCTGGCACACAGAGAGCGCTCAACTCGCTGTATGACTAAATGCAAGCCAAGATCTTTCTATTATGTGCGCACTTGCCTTCCCTACCAAATATACTGGCTTGCAAGGTTTGACCTGTTTTCTTAGACGATTTTTAACTTTTTTTTCCAAAAGAAATATTGGCGTAAGCCGGGCGCGGTGGCTCACGCCTGTAATCCCAGCACTTTGGGAGGCTGAGGTGGGCGGATCACCTGAGGTCAGGAGTTCGAGACCAGCCTGACCAATATGGTGAAACCCCATCTTTAAAAAAAAAAAAAAAAAGAAAAAAGAAATACTGGCGTAAATTAGCTCTCTCAAAGGAGTCTTTATGAAAAGACAGAACCAAGTGAGAAGCATCTGGAGCCCAGATTGGGGGTTATAGGTGATGATGCCGAGCCAGCATCCACAGGGCGGCAGGAACGTAGAATACTGGGACTACTAGGAATGGTGTGGAGTGGGGTTCTTCTTTCTGTTCAAATAGTGTTTCTGTAGATCCCATCTCCCCATCCTCCTGAGCTCTCTCTTACAAAATATCGGATTTCAGCAGCTTAGAATTGGACAGAAACTCAGAATTCCGTTTTTCAATTATCTCTAACCCTGGTAAACAACAAATGGGATGATAAGTACAAGACAGTTTTGGTAAAAAGTCACACAACGTGAGGTTTTATTACAAGGGTGCTCCCTTACCAATAGTAAACATGGCAGCTCGGTGCCCTTCCCTTCAGGTTCGCCATATGGTTGCCAATTGGAAACATGGCCTCCAGGCCGAGAGTTCTCATTGGTCGCTGCAACGAGGCCCCGCCCTTCCCCGCCCCTCAGAACGCGACCGGGAGCTGCGGAGCCGGATATTGCGGCTCCTGACTGAGCTGCGTCTGCGCAACTCTTTGGCGCCAAGATGGCGATGGAGATGAGACTTCCAGTGGCTCGCAAGCCTCTTAGCGAGAGGCTGGGCCGCGACACTAAGAAACATCTAGTGGTTCCGGGAGACACAATCACTACGGACACGGGATTCATGCGGTACGTGGAGACTTGGGGGAGTTTAGGCTTCAGAGAGCGCTTCAGGGCTCTCTGCACGTGGTCCAGGCCTCGTATCCGTGAGTGTCCATATCTCACCGCGGGACCCAGGGCACATCGCCTGAGCATCCTACTCGCCTCGCTTTCGAGCCTCGTGCTTCTTACCCCCGGCATCTTGTGTGTCCTCGTCTGCATTCGTCTCAGCTCCCTGAAACACTCCACTCCTGACCTCCGGTGGCTGTGACTTTCGGGTTTTCTGCCTGAAGTCTAAATCTTTGAGGCTTCCTTGTAGGAGACCTGGAAAACTGGAGACGGTTAGGAGCAGGCTCTCTTTCAGACAGTTTTCAGCTGTCTGAGGGGACGGTGAGCGTTCTTGACTTGGCCTCCTTCTCTTCAGTTTAGAATCCTTAATTGTTCGAGCTTAGGGCAAACCGTTATATTGCGCTGCCTGCACCCATTTACACACTGTTTGAAGCTAAGGCGTGCAGTACGGTGCGTTGTAGTTAAGAGGGCAGGCTCTTGAGTCAGATAATTGGGGGTTTCTTCCAGTCCTGCTACCATCGCATTTATTAGCAGCATTGCCTCTACCCCGTCCAGTTTCCTCTTCTGTAAGATAGTGATAATAACAGTATGATACGGTAATGAGGAGTAAATGAGATACTTCTGTAAGAAAAGTACAACCAGTCATATCATCATAGTTAACACTAGTGGTATTTCAAACTTTTATTTTTTTGTACCTGTATATACAAGGGGTACAACATTCATAGCGTTGCCCTTTAACCAGTTAGTTTAAGGTTAGTGGATCCTAGAAGATCTTTTTTTTCCCCCCTTTTTGAGGAAGTCTCGCCTTGTCGCCCAAGCTGGAATATAGTGGTGCGGGTCTGGGCTCACTGCAACCTCTGCCTCCTAAGTAGCTGGGATTATAGGTACATGACACCACGCCTGACTAATTTTTGTATTTTTAGTAGTGATGGGGTCTCACCATGTTGGCCAGGCTGGTCTCGAACTCCTGACTGCAAGTGATCCACCCGCCTCGGCTTCCCAAAGTGCTGGGATTACAGGCATGGGCCATCATGCTCAGCCCCTAGGAAATCTTCAGATTCATTCTTTTGATTAATGCTTTCAACATATGTTTACATTTTGTGCAGTTGGGATATAACAGCAGAGTGAAAAATCTCTGTCCTGGTGGAGTGCTAACAGGGAGAGATAGACAAGTGCAACGAATAAGTTATTCAGAACATTAGTCAATAAATGCAAGGGGGAAAAAGTGGAGCAGGGTAAATGGAATGTGGTGGGAAGATGGTAGGAGGGTGGCAACGCGGTTGGGGGTGGGCTGTGTTTTCAGTGGCCTAGTCCAGGTGGGCCTGCTGGAGAGAGTGCCATCTGAGCAGACCTGAGTGAGAGGAGTGACCTCCGAGTAGATGTCTGAACAAGGAGCACCGAAGGCGGAGGGAGCAGCCAGCACAAAAGCCAGGCTTTCCAGGGGGGGCCTGTTAGCTTTGAGGAACACATTGTTCTTGAAGGGAGAGAGGGCACCTCAAGAGTTACCCTGGGATCCTTTCTTTGTGCCTTTGCCTTGCATCAGGGGCCATGGAACGTACATGGGAGAGGAGAAGCTCATTGCATCTGTTGCTGGCTCTGTGGAGAGAGTAAACAAGTTGATCTGTGTGAAAGCTTTGAAAACCAGGTGAGAACAAAAGGTGTGTATTCCCTTTCTTGCGGCATCCAGGTTGTACAACCAGGCTCTTTCTGCCTCCCCTTATCCCCCACCCTACCCCTGCCTGCCCCATCCTGCTGTAAGTCTCCAGTTTTGACCATGACTATAGGTGGCGGTGCAGAGCAGCGCAGGCTTCAGAGGTTTCCCCATGTTATGTCACCTCTCCAAGCCTTGGTTACCTCCTCTGAAAGTGACTATGTAGTATGGCCTACTTCATAGGATTTTCTTTTCTTTTCTTTTTTTTTTTCTTGGAGTCTCGCTCTGTCATCCAGGCTGGAGTGCAGTGGCACCATCTGCTCACCGCAACCTCCACCTCCCAAGTTTAAGCAATTCTGCCGCTTCAGCCTCTCAAGTAGCTGGGATTACAGGTGCCTGCCACCACGCCCGGCTAATTTTTTTATATTTTTAGTAGAGACAGGGTATCACTATGTTGGCCAGGCTGGTCTCAAACTGCTGACCTCAGGTGATTCACCCCACCTTGGCCTCCCAAAGTGCTGGGATTACAGGCATGAGCCACTGCGCCTGGCTTAGGATTTTTTTAGAATTCAGTGAGATGGTGCATGTATTTAGTACAGGGCCTGATACCTAGAAGCATTTAATAAAGGTTAGTCCCAGAAAGCAAGACAGTAGGGTTGGAACAGAGTGAGTGAAGCGGAGAGTAGGGGCAGATGTAAGCAGAGAGCTGAGGTGGGTGGACATGGGCCTGCCTTCTTTGCCACAGTAAGCATTTTGGCTTTTATTTTGCATGATCTGGGAAGCCACTGGTAGGGGTGGAGCAGAGGAGAGACTTGATCTGGACTTCAGCTCACTCTGGCTACTGATGGGAGATTGAAGGGGGATAGGGCAAGCTTAGGGAGATGGATTGGGGACCATACTCATGATCTGAAGCGATGGTCGCCTGGACTAAGTTGGTAGCAGTGGAAGGTGGAGGAGCGATTTGATTTTCTGAGTGTTTTTTTTAAAATCATGAAAAGGTGTTGGGTTTTTGTATTCTTTGGGCTTTACCGTACACAGGACCTAGTCATCTGTGAATAGAAATAATTTTTTATTTCTTCCTTTCCAATTTGGATGCCTTTTATTTCCTGCAGATATATTTTTTTCTTTTTCTTTCTCATATGTTTTGTTTTGTTTTGTTTTTTCCTTTTTTGAGACGGAGTTTCACTCTTATTTCCCAGGCTGGAGCGCAATGGCGCCATCTAGGCTCACCGCAACCTCCGCCTCCCGGGTTCAGGCAATTCTCCTGCCTCAGCCTCCCGAGTAGCTGGGATTACAGGCATGCACTACCAAGCCTGGCTAATTTTGTATTTTAAGTAGAGACAGGATTTCACCATGTTGGTCAGGCTGATCTTGTACTCCTGACCTCAGGTGATCTGCCCACCTTGGCCTCCCAAAGTGCTGGGATTACAGGCGTGAGCCACCACGCCTGGCCTCCTGCATATGTTTTAAGGGTAGAGCCAGCAGGATTTGCTACTGGAGTTGTCCTGGAGCATGTGTGAGAGAGAAGAATCAAGGAACTCTCCAAGGTTTTTGGCCTGAGCAACTGAGGGGATGGAGTCCCCGTTGACTTCCTATCTTGGTTTGCTATGGCAGACTGGAGGGGGCTTAGTTTGGCACTTGATACATTTGAAAATGCCTATTAGTTACCTAAATGTCAGGGTTGGATAGCTAGCAGTTGAGTAGGATTTGGAATTCAGGAGTGTGGCACAGTCATAAGTGGTGTTTTAAAGGTATGAGGTTGAGTGGTCGAAAAGTGAAGAGGTCTAAGGGCTTAGTCTCAGCACCAAGTCTGATGAGAATCGCGGATGAGGAATTAGCAAAGGGGCTTGAGAGAAGCAGGCAGCGAGTGAGTGGGGAGACAGTGAGCAGACTCTTGTGGTTGGCGTCCTGGCTCAGATTTCCTTTCTCTTCCTTTGGCTAGTGCAGAACTCATCCACGTGCTGCCGGAAAATAGTCCATGTTTTTCATTGTCGTGTAATCGAGCAAAATAGGGTTTTTAGGCTAAATGAACTACTTGGATAGTGATATGTTTGAGGATAGTTATTGGAGACTATACATGGAGGAACGCTTGAAGTTAGCAATTTCTGAAAATAAGGCCAGACACTATAGTTACATGAATTTGCTGAATGTGGTGCCTGTTCAAGGCTCTCATCCTGTTTAACCGATATCTCAAATGGTGTGTGGTCTTGTAAGAAAGTCTGCTCACAGATGGATGAATATCTTGTGTTTTATCTTTCAGATACATTGGTGAAGTAGGAGACATTGTAGTGGGAAGAATCACAGAGGTAAAGTCGATATCAGATTGGTTTCTACAAAGTCAAGTCAGGCTGGTGATTTAATAAACGGGACAGTCATTCCACATGTAGTTACGTGAAAAAGGCGTTCATTGCATTTGGCTATTGTGTGACCTCTGATATAAATATGTGGCTTGTTCGGTTTGAGATTACTGGTGACGTAGGATGTGAGCTCCTGTCCCTGGAGCATGTGTCCAGGTGTGGACCTTGGCTTATAGGTTCAACAGAAGAGGTGGAAGGTGGAAACCAACTCCAGGCTGGATTCGGTCTTGCTGCTCTCGTCCATGAACCTTCCTGGAGGAGAGCTGGTAAGGGCTGCAGCTGGGGCCATGGACTAGGGCTCTGTGGGCTGGGGGGAGCTGTGGGACCCTTTGTTCCACCAGAGGAATTTGCTTTACAGTGAGGTTGCCCCTTCGACTCCTGTTTGTCTGCTGTGAAGTTTGCTGCCTGGATGTGTATGTAGACTTTTCACCCTGCCCAGGTCTCCCAAAATAGGAAGCAGTTGGCATATGGTAGGATGAGAAACATCCATGGGGTGAGATCCCAACAGAGTTGGGGAGAGAAGCTCTTAGATCCTTGGAATAATTTTCCTTTTCTGGACATACCAGCTTTGCACAATGAAGATGTTCCTTGAAAAATTGTCTTTACATTAGTTTTTTGTGAATTGAAAGGCATTTGGTCATTCCAGACACCACAGTAACTAAGCCACAGCCTTTTGTAAAATACCATGGTTCAACGTTATCTTCCGTCCAGCATGTATTTACAGAGAGGCTTACTGTGCCACGCGCTGTGTGGAATGCCAAACACGGTTGAGTTCCCTAGCAGGGGATATAAGACAACTGATCCACTACCTGGCAGTGGAAGAATACATAAGTGTGTGGTTATGCAAAAGGAGTGGTTAGTTTCAGTGAGAGAAGCTCATAGGAAAGACAGGCATTGGAGTTGATCCTGGAAGGATGGAGAGACTCGAGATGACTAGTTCAAGGAATCTGAGATAAAGGGAAATGTGTGAGCACAGGTACATCCAAGCAGGAGTTTAGTTCTGCTGGACCACAGAGCTGTCGTGGGAGATGAGTGTGGAAATATTGAGAAGGAAGCAAAAGAGGAAGAGAAGAGGAACAGTGAAAAAGTTTCTTGAGAGGGAGTCTTGATTATCACTCTGATTCCCCTCAAGTGGCTTGGGTATACTACTCTTGCCATAGCTCTCGGTGCTTGAATATTGTGGTTGGCCTCACAAATCTCAAAAGGAAGTGAAAGAGGAAGAAGTGATGGTGACCTTTGTGAGGCTTAATTAATGTCATTTCTTTGTGTATTTCAGAGGAGAAGATCTGCAGAAGATGAGCTTGCAATGAGAGGTTTCCTGCAAGAAGGCGACCTTATCAGTGTATCCTGCACTTTGTGCTCCGGCCTCTTGATGCTTTTCTTTATTTTTTCTTTCTTT